TCTTGAAATCCTTGGATCTCTTCGAAGCAGACTTTTTAACAAAGGATATGTCAGCAGGGCTAACACTGGCGGAGCGAGACCCGGTTAGCTGAGCCATCTGGGTAGCAGTAGCTTCATGTGTCCTCGCAACTTCCAGCCCTTCGTCAAGAGACGACAACTGGTCGCCCTTCTCCAACAGCTTCTCCTGTACCGTTTTATGTCGGGTGCCGACAATCAGCTGCTCTAGCAAACGGGTGTTGACTTCACCGGCATCGGCAAATTTGCACTTCACTGCCAAGTTCCGACAGCGACAGAGAAAATTGTCAGTGGTTTCCCCCACATTTTGCCGTTGCTGTTGAAACTGGAAACGGGCCAGCCACGCGTTTACTTTCGGCTGCAGGTGGGCCTGAAAACGGGAAAGTAATTCGTCCACTTTGAAGCGGTCAGCTTCGTCTGCAAATGGCCAGGAATTGTAGATGTCCACACCAGGTCGGCCTATCCAAAGGAGGATGTATGAGCATGGCTCTTTCGCCGACTTCGCTGAGTACGGACCTCCGAAAATCAATTCACAATACTGCCTAAACGAGGCGAATTCCTCCGGGAGGTTGTCTGACTCCCATCTCATGGATGGAATAGAAAATCCAGCCATCGTTATCAGCAGCCCAATTCTGACACCATGTAGTATTACTCTCAATATGGACAAGGAGACATGGACCAGTAAACTCGTGAGGAACAAGAAATGCACAACCAGTAGGTAAGTCAAAACAAGAGAAGTCCCGAGCCAGTGAAGCACATCCAAAGTTCTGGCCTACGGGAAACGGCCTGTGTGACGTACATAGAGCATGCAACGCATACAGTCATAAGTGTACAGGAGTGTATGCATAATAGAGTCCAGATATTACGACAGGAGTGATCAGCACAACTACAATATCATGTAATTGTAGGTCTACATGATTGTCCAGTAATCATCAAACATGTCATGTACATGTCCCTGTACATGGCTCCAAAACTTGCAAAAGGCTAATTTTTCCAATCTATTCCCCTTCCACATCGCCTTTATAGTTCCTTTCAATTGTAATATGAAAATGGGGTACACGTTGGCATAGAGCATGAAAAGAGCTTCATTTTGCTATGCGTGTCATACTATACGAAAATATGGGTTCACATACATTCAAATGGGACTTCGGGTATAAGGACACTTCGCGAATAAGGACATTTTTCCGATGCCCCGCCGAGAGTCTTTATTCGCAAAGTTGACTCTACCTGATGGGGCGACCAAACATGGGTGTTGCGGGTGCCTCGTCTGTGGTTTCCCGCAGATGGACGGGTACATGGGATGGAGAATAGGCAGTGTGTGCGGAGTCAGGCTGGGCGTACGTGTGAGCCTGGACATGCTGGATACAGCCGAGACTGTGGAAGCGCAAGCTGAAGTTACTCAGAACGGCAGCAGTTGCAGCCGTGGGTGCCTCTAGCTCTGCGTCTGTGGTAGTGTAAGCTCGATCATTGGCTGGGCTGATGTGCAGCAGTACAAGGCGAGAGGCTGAGTCAAGGGCGAGCAGTATAACGGACCGTGGAAGTTCGACAATGGCAAATGTGCAGCTGAGGCTGTGCTGGCCATTTGCCACAGGTAGGTGATCCTGACATGCAAGGGGCATGGGAGCGGACACGCCAATTGCATAGATGTTGGCGACGGCTGGTGTGATCTGCACGCAGGTGCAATGCGGATGAGGTGAGCACGCGTCATGATGTTGGTGGATGCACCAGAGTCGATGAGTATGGGCAATGCTGTGCCATTGACAGTGGCTGTTACGTGGGCACTGGCGGCCGTAGCATTGTTGCAGTAATTTATGAAGGCCTCACACTCATAGTAAGGGAGGAAATGAGGTGTCTGTGAGAGGTAAACTGGGTCCTGTGGATTGACTGCTGTGCTAGTATGAGTAGTAGGTGCAGTGTATGGAGCATAAGCTGAAGTGTAGCTGGTGTCCATGTTGTGAGACTGAGAGTACAGTGGGTCTGACATCATGTGTACTGAAACTGGGCAACTCTGCGACTGCATGGAAAAGCAAGCTTTAGCCAAGTGGCCCGCCCCACTTACCACACTTGGGAACAGCTCTTGCCACTTGCAGAATCACAGCACCGGTGGCGGTGCTCTGCACAACGGTAGCAGCGCGATGTGTTGAAATCCTGCTGGCCAGGGGCACGAGTGGCGGCTGAGGCAGGTGGTTGGTTATACCACTGGTTCGCAGCTGCAGGTAGCGAAGACTGCATTGGTCGACGCGACGGAAGTGAAGCAGTAGCAGCAGGCGGCTGTGTCCTGTCGTGGAACACTGGCTGATGATGAAGGACATTGACGGAGTCGTGCGTGCGCCGGAACGCCGTTGTCTGCTCCACTGACGCTTCGAAGGCTCTGGCTGCTTTGAGCGCTTTGTCGAGGTCGAGAGATGCAGCCTCCAGCAGTTCCCTGCGGAGCGGATCAGACGTGCATCTGGTCACAATGTGATTGCAGAGGGCGACTTTCTGCTGGGCATCGTCAGCAAGGCTTCAGGTCTGTGTCGATGCCAACAAACCAGAATTACACATGTCCAATGTTTCGCCAGGCTGCTGGGTGACCTGATGAAAATGGAAGTGGGCCATGCTGGGGCTCTGCTTGGACTGGAAGTAGTCGACAACGGCAGAAAATGAGGCCGTCGAGTTCGTTGCCAGTGTTGGCTAACGTAAGAACGAGCTGCTGAATTTCCTTGCTGGCCACATACTGGAAGGTGTCTATCTGGCGAGTGGCGTCCGAGATGCCGACTTTCGGCGAACAAGAGTCGGAAACTTCACTCCCACGCAGGAAAACGGGTGGCAGCGTCGTAGAGGCTGCTGAAGACCGGGAATGGCTCCGGAGACGGTAGTGGCAGTAGGGACAAGGCGAGGATCAGGCGTTATATTGTTCTCTTGCTCTATTTAAAACAACAGCTAGCTTCGGAAAGCTCCGCAATATGATGCCAACAGAATGTAATAGTGTGCATGCATGAGTACATAGTCGGTGCGTACCGACTGTCAGTACACATGGTACAGGTGTGGGAAGCGGCATATGTAAATGTGTAGGAGCACAAACGGTGCCGCATGCATACATACGTGTGACAGTCCACACATGTATATGTGAACACTATAGGGGGAGGGGGGGGAGGGTGTTACGGGGTTAGGAGGTACATCATTTTAATAAGTTTTTGAAATATGAGAGTTTCGTTCTGTCGCCTGGTTTTATGTCAGATATGAGTAAAACACAGCATTCAGGAAGTCAACATATGACTCAGCGGAAATTAGCAATTATTTAGCTACAGTACTGTCTGTCGTGGAAGAACTGGGTGTGAGGGGGGGGGCAGCCTCCTAGCCTAGACCAATCTTATTATCATTTACTACAGTCTCTGCACAGTTGAGTTACCGTGTATACATTGGTATGCTGTGTTTGGTAAAATTCTAGCCTGGTCGTTCTTCGGTGCTTTGTTCTTCTGCGCTCGGCAGTACTTTAGAAATTGCCTGATTCAACATGCTTTTAAAAGATACTGACTACTGTAGTCAGAACAGTGTGATAATTTGCTTGTGTTGAACAATTCATGTCTCCCGTGGCGCTTATGATGTTAGCTCTAGTAGGGTTTAAAAGAGCAGATAAGTTTAAAATATTATACCACTATGGTCAGGTTATGTTGAGATGACCATAACCTGGCCACAATCCTCAATTGCCAGTTTGAGTAGAATGGGTGTATGCAAGTGTGTGATACTGGTGGTATCACTCTGCTCAAACAGGACTTGTAGGTCAATGTCTAGCTACGTCAGGAGTACTCCACCTTGAAATACCAAAGGGTTTGCAGGGCTGCTTGAACCGATCCAGTTGGTCAGGTTAACACCGGACCAACATTTCAGCCATTAACGCACGTTTATTGCTGTGGAGGTCATGTGTACCCGCCATATCATACACCAATTGTATGAAAGGCACTGAAACTACCGGACCAATCAAAAACTGCCTCCGGCGGTCCAGGTTTATCATTATGGACCTATTACTCATATAGAGTTCACCTTTTAAAAAGCAAAGTCACTAACGGATAGGAAAGGATGATAGCCAGCTCCTGTTGACCTGCCGTATGTGAAGTAATGATGTATGTCAATTTATTACCTTTACTCTGCCTTATCCCCTATCGAGTACCTCTTTGTATGCTTCCTGCAAGGGTACTGAGTGAGTCAGTAGAGTCCCTACTTCTATTGTTCAGACAACAACGAGCAGAGCATTGCAGACATTTTCTACAAGATTAAAATTTGCTTGGGATACAGTGTACATGATCATGATCATTGTTTAGTATGGCTTAAGTCAATAGGTATAATACAGTGCAACATCTTCAGTATACATACCAATTAGCAGAGATCAGATCCACAACTTGCAGGGCATGTTTCTACAGGCCCTTGCGTTCTCAACAATGTTCTTCAGCCAGTGAACATTGCTATACCTTTGCGACCGACAATGCAGTTATGCTTGTGCATGTGTGTGTGTGTGTGTGTGTGTGTGTGTGTGTGTGTGCGCGCGCACGCATGTGTGTATGTGTGTGTGTGTGTGTGTGCGTGTGTATGTGTGTGTGTGTGTGTGTGTGTGTGTGTGTGTGAGCGTGTGTGTGTGTGTGTGTGTGTGTGAGCGTGTGTATGTGTGTGTGTGTGAATGTGCATAATTATGTGTGTTTGTGCATGTGTGTGTGTGTGTGTATGTGTGTATGTGTGTTTTTGCATGTGTACATGCGTTCCTGCTTACGTGTGTACATGTGTGATGTATGTGCATATGTTGTGTATGTGTGTATGTGAGTTTGTGTGTTGTATGTGTGTGCATGTGTGTGCATGTGCGTGTGTATGTATGTGTGTGCTTATGTGTGTGTGTGCTTATGTGTGTGTTTGTGCGCATGTGTGTACTTGTTCGTGTTGTTGTGTTGGGGTCTGTACATGTGTGGTGTGTGTGGGTGTACACATGCCTACACTACCTATGTTGTTCTTACTAGAGTGGATGGTGGAGCACCACTCCACTACATATAGCATGTAGGGAGGGTTACGTCGATATTGCCAAGCACCTTGTCAAGTGTAAAGCCAAGGTGGACAAGACTGATTCGGTAAGTTGCACATCACTCTGCCTGTACATTGAAGAATGACTCACTATTGGCTCATGTACTAATCAAAGACACCTGACTTTGACTGTACTGCAACAGAGCCCATGCACATAAACCATGTTGACTTCTGTCTGAGATCGGAGCCTCAAAAGCATAATATTACGGAGATTGATTACCATGGGTTATTGCACAATGTCGATAATACGCTTGCGCCCACTTAACCCTTTATTGGCCGATTAAAATACAAACAAGCCCACGCAATCGCCAAACCTGTACCTAAATTCATGGCTCACAGCATCACACAAAAGCGTGGGCGCCATTTTGGACAGGGCCCTGTCACGCGAGCATCACGCGAGCCAGCCAGCATGCCAGAATCGTATACATGCACTCAGGCAGATATCGCAGAAAGCCTTGAAAGTGCATTCAAAATGTTCATTTGTACTAGTGCTTTCAGCTAGACCTTTGAAAAGCTAGGAACATACTCTCAATACCCATTGTAAGGATTTGTCCGAGCGTTTTTTTTAAATTCGACCGGGTTTCAATATTACGGGAGAGTGAAAAGTGTGTGCGCTTCTGCCGCACTTGATGTTGAATGAGGGGCCAAAACGGAAAATATGGCTCGGACAATTTCTCGGCAAGATCAAAACAAAAATTTTAAGCCATCAACTGTCCAAATCGACAAAGAAACGGGTACAAACGAACATTTTGAATGGCAAAGATCGTCTTGCTTGCGCGCGCCGAGCGCGACCTCACGACAGCTATTTTTGTGTTCTGCACAAGAAAGAAAGAAAAGCTGTGCGCGGCTCTCACGTGAAGCTAGCTCTGCTCTTCACTGACTTCAGTTTCACTAACTGTACTCGTACTGCTTGCCGTAGTTGCTGGGAAACTTCGTGCCGCTGCCCTCTCCTGGATTGCTGCGGATCTCCGTGAGCCTGGATCATGGGCCACACCATGCCTCATGCCTTCTTCTTGCAAGGCAGCCATTCTCCGCTCGTGCTCATCAGCTGACCGGGCGCGATGCCTGGACAAAACTCCGCTGTATGTTTCAGCAGCGGTGAGGGTACGGGCAGTCGACTGTTTGGCTTGTAGAAGCTTCACCTGTGCTCTGGCTTTCTTGACTCGCTCAGGCGTTACAGTGGCAGCATACTCACTCATCTGCCTTGCAACATGCTCCATGACATTTTGCGTGACTCGGACGGACTTTCGGCTACTAGCTGACATGGACTGATACAAGTGGAGGCGAGCAGGTGTGGAGTGCAGCACATTCTCCACGAACAAGTGGCTTGCCTGCTTTGACAGTTCGCTCTCGTTCGGATGGATGTAAATATCCGCGATGTTGAACTGCCGTTCGGCAATCACATTGTTGACAGGCATTGCGAATATATAGGTCGCAAACCAGCTCCACAAATGAGGCTCACTGTCTTTGCAAGGACATGACGGACCTGTCTTGTGTGCAAGGCAAACTGCCTCCGGCAAAGCGTCAGCGGGCAGTGGCCATCTGGTGAGCCAGGTGTCGAGGTCCTTGACCTGCCCAGCGACCAGTCCAAGGATAGAAAACTCCTCAAACCAGGACATGGTCGCCTGCCCAAGAAGATGTGCCTTCTGGTCGAGCAGGTTCTGTTCGTAGCAGCTTGCAGCCAGCTTCTTCGGACACTTCAAAGTTAGGGCGAGCTGCAATAACTGGTCATACTTTGCTGGTCCTTGCTCATCGGAGACAGTTGGTGGTGCGCCTTCAGTGAAAGTGGTAATCTGGACAGGAATAGCGCGTACCCGGAGATACGCACGCCAGAACAGATGCCTATGGGCTGTATCAGCGCCCATGGCGAAAAGCAGAGGAAAGCAAAGCCACCTAGTGGAGTGTTTGTCGAATGAAGCAAGAACAGCATCCAGCATGGGTTCTTGAACATGTGTGGCGAAGTGTGTGGCGGTTTCTGGCTCCAGCTTGGCCTTGGCTTCAGCTGTCAGAGGCATGGCGTAGTCGCTGTGACGACGCATCAGCTCAGCCATCCGCATGTCTCTGATTACATACGATGGCCACGTTCTTGCTAGGTAGCCAGAGCTGAATTGCAGCTCATCATCGCCGCTCTGGCACTTCTGGAGGCCAGGCATGATGAGCCTGTTCAGTAGTTCGAGCAAGATTGTCCGCTCGACAACAATAACCTCATTAGAGGCCATTCGGATGATATCCTCCCAGATAGAAAAGTGGGATTCTTTCTTTGGAAGGAATCTCAGGATGCGCTTGCCAAGCTGCAGACATGCCTTGCCGTATTTCTCCCACCACTCCAAGTTTGCATGGATGTACGTCCAGCGAGTTTCCACAAACTCCTGTGGAAGTGCAGGTGCTCTTGGCAAAACTCCCTCGCTGACGTACAGTGCCTTGTAGTAGGTTGGCTTCTGGTGGTGTACATACCCAACCTTGTACTGGAGCTGGAACAGGTTGAAGCTCATCATGCTGCCACGCTGTCCAAAGCCATCGGACATAGCATTACGGAGGGCTATGTTGAGGATGTGGGGGTAGCAGCCAATAAATGTGGTGTTGCTTTTAAAAAGCACACCAAGCTCAGCTGCATGGCCTTTCCTGCTGCCTGACTGGGTAGACGCATTGTCTCCCACGACTCCGCATACGTCTGCCACACCATATATGTTTTGCAACACGTGATAATCCACGGATGCCTGGTTCGCTCCACTACCGGACTGCACAAGGGTATTCGCCAACACGTACCCGACCGGGCAGTCGCTCGTTTCACACCATGTGTGTACGCCAACCATGTGCCGGTCTTCGCCTTGCTTATTGCTGTCGTCAGCAAAAACATGAACCTTGTAGCGGCTTCCTTGTAGTTTCTCACGGAGCAAGGCTTTGTCGACTTCTCCGAGAAGCACGTTCCATTCCGCCAACGTGGATGGTGAGATGGTTGTTCCAAATCCTGGTGGTGGAGATTGCTCAGTCAGGAGATAATGAGATAGGAACACCGCCATGGCAGATTTCTGGTTGCTCATGATGCAGGCAAACTTCATGAACCTGGCACGCGCCATGAATGCTGGTGTGTGCTCAGGCTTGGTACCGGGCACTAGTGCACACTTTACCGTTGTGGGCTCATCGCTCTTGTCTAGTTTCTTTTTTGGTTTTTGTTGCAGCTTAGTATGTGCGCTACTTACTCCTCGCAGTGCATTTGCTTGCTCCTTCAGCTTTTGTTTCTGGGCTTCACATTTTATCTCTGCTATCTTAAGCATTTGTCTTATCCGCTCATTTTCACGTTGGAGTGATTCCATAGCCTGTGTATTGGGGTCGTCAGCGAGCGATGCAGTGCGTAACAGAGTAGCTGCAGTATCTGCATGTGCAAGAGGAATCGTGTCTTCAACAGTGGGAGGAGCGGTGTGCAGCGGCCGGAGGAACGGTGTGTGTAGCAGTGGAAGCTGTGCTGCTGCTGCTGAATAGTGCGGGTGTGGTGTGCTGTACCCCAGAGGCGGACGCGACTCCTGCACTGCTCACCTGCAGTTGTACATGGAAAACAATAGGTAAATAGTTTATACTTAGTGGCAACACCCTGATCAGATACAGTCTGCATCATGAACTATAGTGATCCCTTTATAATCCACCACGATCAGTGTTACGGAAATAATTCTGTTGGATAAATAAATCTGATTTACTTCTGCATTGTGCGTGAAGAGGACATTTTTGGTTACTGAGAGTTGTGCCGATTTATAGCTAGAGGGCGCTGGTTTATATATAAACTTCTGCATTGAAGAGGGGCGACTCTTACCTTTTGAGCATCTCCGGTTCGAGCAATGTCTTGTCCCGCCTCCAGCGTTGAATAAGAAGTGAGTTCGACCGAGTCATCCGACACATCAGAAAGGTCTGCGAGGTACTCTGGTATGGTAGAGGCAGGGTCCGAGTGTGTGCGCTGTTCACTTGCAGCATCTGCAACCGAACCCGCTGTGTGGTGGTGACCAGTGCCCGCCTACAGGAAGTAAATATCAGTTGTGGAAGCGAAAGCATTATGGGTGGGTCTGGTTTCTTTCCTACACCTTCTCATATGTATTATCATGATGATGTTGTACGTCTTCTTGCAATGGTCTGGTGCATAATTACCATAATGTCAATGCAAACGGATTGATTTACCTCTCTGGCACTGCCGACCTTGGGGGCTTCCGCAACAGCTGCTTTTTTCTTCCACATGCCACCACCAAAGCGGCTTGGGTTGGGCTTCCTCTTTTTGGACTTAACCTTATCATAGTCCAAAGTCTCTGATGGCCGCGGCATACTTGCTTTACTGTGGGTTTAAAATACCTCAGTTTGTTGCCTCGACGGCAGAAAGTACGAATACGAATAGCAAGAGGGGCACCAATAAAAACCAAAACAGAGCGGAAAGGAAGGCTGAACAGGAAGAAAATGAGGACCAAGAAAAGACTCTTCAACCGTAGCGGTACATCTAGCCATGAAAACATCTTGGTTTGCTTTTATAAAGGGCTGAGGTAGACGCGGTCGACTAGTGAGTAGGTCGCCTGAAAACAAAAAAAAACCAGGGCGAAGGACACCAGAAGGCGCTCTGTCACGCCCGCGCTCTGAAAATAGATGCAAAAAGCAAAGCACATCGTAGGCTAAAAAATCTAAGTATCCTTCTTCCACCGCAGCGTCGATGTACCGATGTAGGCGAAACAACAATCACGCGGAGGCGGTCTTTCTTGGTTTCATTTTATAGCACAGAGGATGCGCTCTAGTCCCTACCGTCGCCTGAAAAAATGAACAAGCACGACATACCGCATCAGACGCATGCTCAACAGAACTAAGAAGACCCTTCCCCGCAGCGTCGGCATGGTCGATATAGCTGAAAGTCACCTCGGCAAGACGATCTACTTCGGTTTTTGATTTTTAGCTTGGAGGTTGACACGATCTACATGTACGTCTTGTAGCCGCTACTGCACGCACCGCTTGTCCTTTCTTCTGAACGCGGCAGGTACGTGACTGGTCTGTGAAGCCAGCACAAAAGACTGCCCCAGCTAGGCCAGCGCAAGCTCCCTGTCGTGTGGGCTGTCGCGGACGCGCTTCTCAAAGCGGCACGTGCGAGGTCGCGTGAGGTTGTTTCTATAGTGATCAGTTTCCAAGATGTCCTCCCACGTAATCGCTCTTCAGGCATAGTTGCTGTGAGCCCTGAAATTGGACGTAACTTTAGTTTGCATTGGACAAATTCCACGATCTTGGGCATCCTGGAAAGGCCTTGGCGAGAGGAGCGCAATGAGCGTACACTCGACTCCACGGGATGCACTGGCCCAGCGCTGCAAGCCAGGGAAGGCCGACCAGCGCTGGGCCCACGCTCGAGATCTATCTCTATCCACCATTTCACTCCTGTTGGTCGTATCAAACTCAAATTTTTTCGTAGAGACTTCCGTGACCCTGCTTTTGAAGCTGAATCGGTGTAGTCTTGTCAACAGGTGACGTAGGCAGGGAAAATCCCGGCCGTTGACCCACGCATCGCGCCCTGAGCGCAAATTTCCCGGGACCAACAGTACGAGTGCTATAACTCAAGAACCGCTCATTGTATCGCTTTGAAAATTGTTCGAGGCGACAGCTGAGAGTTTTCTCTTCGACCTACAAATTTAGATCGAGATTTGACCAAGTTACGATAATTTCAAAATGCCTACCCCATCGAACATCAGTTTTCGATCAATGTATAGGCCTGCCAATAAAGGGTTAAAAGCCAATGTTGAAATTACTTGTAGAAAACACTGTGTTGTCAGTACCATGGGTAAAACGTATCATAGGAAACGACCATTTCATGCTAAATGCATGGGAATCATTTTGAAATAATGGATGTAGGTAATCAGTGGATAATTGACTGGTGACCGTCTAGCCTAACATTTTACCGTAATCCACCCTATTGTATAATGGGTAGGGCACACTGGAGTATCAATTTCACACCATTACATGTTTCCTAGTCCAGTCAGTTTCGAGTGTACTTCAGTACCTGGTCTGATATCAAAGAGACCATGTAATGTGATAGATGGCATGTACATTGCAGTTGAAAGGGGTTGTGTGAGTAAACTATCCATGCCCTTAGTAGTGGAACAGATCATTCTGAATGCCATAAGGTAATGGTTATAATTTTGGTAGTAGAATGTTCACCACGCAGTTCATTTTCCATTGCATGATGTGTGTGTGTGTGTGTGTGTGTGTGTGTGTGTGTGTGTGTGTGTGTGTGTGTGTGTGTGTGTGTGTGTGTGCGTGTGTGTGTGTGTGTGCGTGTTTGTGGGTGGGTGGGTGTGCGGGTGTGTGTGTGTGTGTGTGTGTTTTGAAGCCAATATCATTCATCCTGAGACTCCTAAGTTATGTTGCTTTGATTTTTCCAGCACTAACTAGCAGGAATAGTGGCAATTGATCAATCAGAGTAGTCCGCATGAAAATCTCGTTCCTGACAGTAGATTGTACATCCTATGTACTTCAGTAGGAAGTAAGATACTGACTGCAGATACTTGTAGATAACACATATGAATGGCTGGTCTTGTCTTTACCTGCACACAGTGCGGTGACTTTCCTGTTCATGACGCTGCTACAGGCGGACATCTGAAAGTCGTCAAGTTCCTACTAGACATCCAACCCGACATGATCTCTGCGAAGAACAGGGTGAGTTAAGTGCGATCCCTGGCACTGTTATGGTCAGGAGTGCATAACCCAATAATGTGCTACTTTGGCAAATGAGTGCAGACCAGTATGCATGGGGTTGGGGTTCCTGTTGCATAGACCCCCCCCCTCCAAATGTTCCGAACGCACCTCCTTGCAATGATGTTTTCATTGCAGTTTTGTGAGTACACCGGTGAGCGTGCAGCGCTAGTACATGTATGTACAAGTACTCACTGCATGTGCATGTACTGTAAAACAGGAAAATCTAACCAGTCACAAAGTCTAGCATTTTAACACCCATTTTTTCGTTATTTGAAGGAACATTATGGCGAACCCGGCGTGTAAAGATATACACACATTGATGCATGTTCTGGGTGGCCAGGTAGCCATTGTTAAACTTTCTGTATGTTATCACGCCAAAATTGCAGAAATGTTTAACTTTTTGTTCGTCAAACTTTCCGGTTCTACTGTAGTAGATTGTATGATGGACGAGTCATAGCGTTAGTGCAGACGAGGTAATGGTGGATTTCACTCGCGAGTCGCGACTCCCTGGTGTAGTCCTTACAATCATAGACATACTCACAGCTCTACTGTCTGTCCATGTCTGTGGTGTGGCGGAGCTAGGGACGCGGTAACCTGCTATGGGCATGCACGTGCGGCAATCTACGCCATCACGGTGAAGAGTTTTGACCGTGTTGCAGTGTCATGTTGAAGCAAAAAGGACGAAAAGCATGTTCTGCAATTGCAATTTTTCATGCTGAGAGGAGCTGAGTGTTCTCTGGGACCGTAGACGGCGACCCATGAGAAGTTGTGCTGGGCTGAACCCGCATCCGAGAGGTGTTGAGCGATAGCTTAGAAGCGTATCATAAGTGTCAGAACCTTTCACTAGTATCGACTTGACCGACTCTGAATCGTGATCGTACGCTCGGCAAGGTCGTTGCCCTGCGGATGCAGCGGACTGCTGGTGTGGTGATGTATGCCGTACTGCTTCACAATGGTTGCAAACTGTATATTCTGAATGGTGGGCCATTGTTGGAGACGAACGTCTCAGGGAAACCATGGGTTGCGAAGATGGACTTCAACTGGTTGATAACAGGCTAAGCAGGCAGTGCTGACATACATGCTAACTCCACATATCTGGAGTAATAATCTACTACAAACAGGTTGTTTGAGGAGTTGAATTGCATGAAGTCGGCTGCAACCTTCTGCCATGGCGGGTCCGGAAGAGTGGTAGGGCGGAATGTCTCAACCTTCGGGTGGTGAGTGTTGAACACGCGGTTTGCAGGACGCGATGAAATCGGCCAACTGAACACTCAATCCTGGCGAACACGCTGACTGCTTGGCACGGAAAAGGCACTTCATGATGCCGAGATGGCCTGAGTGGAGTTGCTCGAGCACCTGCAGGCGCAAGGACTTCGGTCTGACCATCCATTGTCCATACATAAGTAGACCTAAGCACACAGTCGAGTTGTCTTGAGCGTTGTGATATGGCCGAATGGAAGGCGAAACATCTTTGGGATGTGGCCAGCTACCTTCGACTTACTGGTGAAGTAGCTTGTAATCCGGATCGTTCAGCTGATGGTCTTGGATTTCTGCCTGGCGAGCATCAAAGGCCGGCATGCTGGCAACAGTGGCGGAGGCAAACTCTTCAACCTCTTCGTTGAAACTGACAGCATTAGCACAAGACGACTCTGAACCAGGAGAGTGAGAGAGTGCATCAGGAACCACTAGGTACTCTCCTGGCATGTGTGATATCGAGAAATCAAACCGCATTAGCCTCAGACGGAACCGTACGATATCAGGTGGCACATTATTACGTGCGGTTGAGCTGAGTAGGAGAACAAAACAAGCGGCTTGTGGTCAGTCTCAACTGTGAAGCACACAAGCCAACATGATTCCAATAGCCTCATTCTCTATTGTAGCATAGGTACGTTCTGTAGCCGTCAGTGATCTAGATACATAGGAAACAGGCTTCCACTGACCAGAGGGCTGCTGCTGCGAGAAGACTGCACAGATGCCATAGCCTGATGCGTCTGACGATACCATGGTGGTGCACATCGGTGAGTAGAATGCCAAGAGAGGGTCTGTTGACAGGGTAGCCCTTAAGCGGGGGCCCCAAATCAAGGCGTTGTTCTTCTTCGGGAGGTTACGGAGTGGCTGCGAGATGGCGGAAATCTCGGGAGAGAACTTTCCAAGGTTGTTTACGATTCCAAGAAAACTCCGACCATCAGAGACATTCACACATTGCGGGAAATCAGTCAAACCCTGCACCTTGTCTGGATCGGGATGAACACCATTCGCGTTGAGGACATGACCAAGGTACTTCACAGGCGTCCTCTTGAAATCCCATTTGTTTGCATTCAGAGTAACCCCATGATCACAGAAGCACTTCATCGCACCGTCAAGGTATACATCGTGGTCCTCACCACTCAAGGCGAAGATGAGCGTGTCATCCATCTGGCATGTCGTTCGTGGCACGCCGTTCAGGATCCTTGTCATCCCTTTTTGGAAATGCTCTGGTGCTGAACAAATTCCAAATGGCAAACTGGTGAACCTGAACCTTCCAAATGGTGTAATGGACGTCGTCAACGGCTGTGATTAGTCCACCAGTGGCATCTGGTAGAATCCACAGTTGGCATCTAGCTTCGTGAAATACTTTGCTCCACTGAGCTGGGCTAGCGTGTTGTATACACACGGTAGCGGACGGTACTCACGACGAACAAATTTGTTCAATTCGATGAAATCCACGCAGAGACGTACAGCACCAGAAGGCTTCGGCTCGACATTTAAGAAGTGCGTGTCTACTGGGACGATGATGCCTTGATACTCCATCTTCTGTAGTTCTTTCGTGACCTCATCCATTAGCAGCAATGTAACATGATGAGGACAAGGCAGGGCAAACGGTTGTGCCTGATTAACTAGGCTTATCCTGTATGGATTCCCTGCAATATCCGGGTTCACCTTCAACAGGTTCAAGCCAATGATGTCGGATGGTCCCAGCAAGGCTTGTCTGACATTACTGACAACATACACGTCTTGTACTGAGCACTCGTATCCGACTGACAAGGTGTCTTAGGACACCCTCATCATTAAGAGTCGTGCTACTGTGGCTGGTGAGAGTTCGCGTTCTCTTCATCAACATGCAGTCTTCGAGTGTAATGAGCAACGTGGATGGTATGACCGCCACCTTGGTCCCTGTGTCGATCTTCAACACAGGCGTTCCATTCACGGATACGGTGGCCATCGATGCCTATCACCGTCGACCGAACTCAAAATAATAATACTCTTTGAGTTCACTGGTGACAGAGTCGATCTCCTCCTGCGTCGATGTCGGCTTCTTGGACTGACACACTCTTTCGAAATAACCCTCCTTTCCACAGGAGTGGCAAGTGGAGGTTCTCATTCTCTGCACGTCCAGAAAACAGACACTTTTCCGGACTCCTCTTTGAGCTCTCATACTTAGACCATAAACCACAGAAGAAGAAGTTTTGTTTTTTCACGGCTGAGCATAGCGAAAGAGTGCAAAAAACGTATTTTTCACTCGCAAATATTTTCATGCGTTTGCTCTTGTTCTGCGCAACTCCGTTGAACCTGCCATCATGGTCTTTGTTTTTCCTCGTGGTAGTTGAAGTTGCCCGCCCACCCACCCTGGTTTCATGGGGGTCTTTCCCCGTTCTTCTTGATGTTGTATGCCAATGTGCGTGGCTTATGATTATGACATACGCTGGTTATTACATACCATTTCTTGCTGTCTCTATTCTTGGGTCCGACTGGCAGCGGGGCAGGAATTAATGAAATAGAAAGGTTTTTTAGCCGAAAGGCGTGTTTTTCCTCTAGCCCGGTTGAGCGGTCGCGGCTAGGAATGTAGGGAATCATTCTTTTTAGGCGCTCCCCTGCTGTCCAGTCACCCATGCTCACCACTGGCCATGCTGTGTCGCTCGATTATACGGCCGTTTTAGCCACCGACACTAGTAGCAACCAATGGCAGGAAGTTAACATGATCTACCGGTACACAGTTGAGCCACGGGAAAGCGTACACAGACAAGTGATTGACAAAACTCCATCAAGCTAACATCGCCTCACTAGGGAAGAGTTCTTGGAGTGGGAGTTTGGAGGGGGGGGGGGTCGCAATCTTCCAGTTCATCATTCGGTTTGCACCTCTTATACAGACAGAGCAATTATTCAAACGGGACAAGACTCCCAAGTATATCTCTGTGCAGAACATGGTTAGATTGTTTGTGTTTTTTAGAAACATAGCACTCCATAATGAACATAACTGCAGAGCACGAAAACACGATATCAAGATTGCCAATGGCTTTGGTCATAGATGGCAACATTGATTTCAGAGATATGGAAAAGGAATGCTTGATGTTGACCACATAGGATCCATCCATTCCACGATATGGCAATTGTCGTCAATCCCAGTAGAGGACAGGTACTCGTGATATCAACATGTTGGTTTGATTGTTGCTGCTATGGCTGTGTTTAGGATGGGAGAACTCCTCTTTGTGAAGCAGTGTACTGGAGGGGAACAGGTTGTGTGCCATACTTGCTGGAAGTCACCTGGACCAAGCTTGCATATGATGAGGTAAGAGATGAGAAAAGTTGTTTGTGTTATGAATAGGTCTACCAATTTTGTTTGAGAAGATTTGTTCAGTTACTGTGAAAACCGTTTGATCTGAAACCACCCTATCACACCCCCCCCCCCCACCCTCCCCTGCACAAGTTCTTATCAGTTTGATATGATTGTTGTTCCTGTAACACGTAGCTTTACATAAAGTTGGATAACATGGACGATCTCCGTGGAATCCGGTTGGAATATAATGAAAGAGTACTTTCTGTAGATTAAGTGCGTAAGAGAAGACTAGCATGCGTTCTTCACTACAGTTGTAGTCTATTTCCTCACTATCTACTTCAAGGTGTATTGGATGTCATCATCGTGGACAGTGCATCTCTTCTTACTCTTCACTTTAGATAACTTATTTTGTGTATGATGTTAAGCATTGAGCAGTGACAGAATGGTCTATCATTTCTTACTGTGCACCTGTGCTATATGCAGTGTAACAAGTAAAATGGCGGGTGTGTTTTCTGTGGTATTTTGGATATGTGATGGATATTGTGACTAGTGAAATTGATGACAGTGAAGAGTGTATCGCTATACCAATAGTGGTTCTATGTTTCCAATCCAGGCCAAGGAGATTGTGGAGCAAGCCAGAAGGATAGCTCAATATCGTGGGAAAACGCAAACGTGGTACTTGATTAAGGTGAAACATGTCGTTATAATTATAGCATTACTAACTTTTTGCTTATGGATGACAGGGATGAATAATTGGTACGAGTTGGGAGTAATGACCTACCGATATAACCAGATCAAATAAAAATACCGTTAGAAGCTGTGACAAGGCACAAGACTGACACGGTACTGAAACATTCAACACCCTGACACCTAGGTCCAGCATATCTCCAAAGCGAAAAGTCAATAACGTTCCAAGTTGGAAAGATCAGGTTAGGGAAGTCCAATGAGGATATAAGACGCGAAAAGAGGATAATACCAAGTAATTGTTACATCTCACCTGCAAGAAGCGGGGTTGTGGGGGTGGGAGTGGGGGGGGGGGGCTGGGTAGGGGGTGGTGGTGGTGGTAGTGGGGGAGGGGGGATTGGGCGAGCATTGATCCTTAGAGGAGACAGGAGAGACCAGAGGAAGCACCAGATTGCGTTACCTCAACATACAGAATTTGAGTGGTGGAATGAGATGGAGGATGCGAGAGAAAGAGTGAAAAACAGTGAAAGAGGTAATGAGAGAGAGAGAGAGAGATTGAGAGACAGAAAGAAAGAGAGAGGTCTCACCAGAGTTCTTGATGAATTCACTCAAATAAAATGCTGGAGTGGAGTGAAAGATGGACAGAAAGCTAGAAAGGTCACTGTCAATGTCTCTGTTGAGAATCATACGAGTCTCCAGGCAACTATTGACAGCCATGTATTGAGAGAACCCGCAACTCATTCCGCTACACCCATGCCTCTATACCGGCAATTGTGTTGGGTCACATCATGGAGACACTCGGTTGGAGTTTGTTGCTCACGATCAGCAGCAGTGGTGGGCACTGAAATTGGCTATTCAAATGTTCTGGCTAAGAGCAGACTATCCAAGAGTAACAACAGAGGTCACGGTGAAGAGTATATCAGGTTCACAAGGGACGACAGAGTCAATATACTTTGACAAGACATATGAGGTGAAATGAGTGTCGAATGTCACCAATTGTTGGAGGCCAAAACTGGAGACATAATTTTTTCTCTTCTAGTACTGTCGGTGTTGTAGCAAGCAGAGCAGTCAGATTAGTGATCATTTAGTTCTACTGTGGGCAGTAACACAGAATGAGGATAGCTAATGTGAGAAAGACATTCCTCTAAAATCCCAATGAATTCCAGTACAGACTGTGATGAGTTGTGTGTGATTATGATGATTCACACTATACTAGTGTACTGCTCCTTGAGCCCGTGCACTATGGACTCATACATCAATTGTCATCATAATAGGCTTGAAGTGCTGGTTACATTGAACAACCTGATAGCAACTAGCTTACTGTCAGATGTAAGATAGTGTCTAGTGTATGTCCAACTGTGTGGATATACTGTAATATCTACAGTTGGGCTCTGTGAAATTCGACCCAGAGTCCATATTTGGCAATCTCAACTTGCATGACCCTCGGTAACCTGGAAGTGGAACGAATGCGGCTGGACGTAAATATGGGAAATACTGTAATCGGAACTGATCGAGTGCGCCGGCTTTTCAATTTTGGTTGAATTTCACTGAGCGACACTGTAGTTCATGACAGTGTTCAACTTACATACTTTGGGTATTGTTGTTGTGTGCTGCATTTGTATGCTCCAGACCAGCTTGATACGTGAAGAATTTGGTGTTGAGGGTTACACTGATCCTACTGAACTGATTGCCAACGTGTGTGGAGCAGAAGGTTCAGGAAAATCTACCTTCATTGCATCCTTCACAGCAGAAGGCTTCTTCAATAAACTGCTACGTCAGGAGAATCAACCGGACATGAAGGCAAAAGATTTAGCATCCCGAACAAAGGTGAGGTGAAAGGAATGAAGAATGCACAAAGTGCTACAGATTGTAATTTGGATGAATGCATTGTTAGTCCAAATGTTAGTGACAAGTTTTGTTTTCATTCCAAATAAGCACAAATCAACACGAACGGGGAAGTGCAAAATGCAGGCCGTTGTGAACCCTATCAAAAACGCTAAGCCAATAACAAGGCGAAGGAGAGGTGAACAGAGCCGTGAAATGTGACTGGTGAAATGTTCATGCTGGTGTCTGCAAGTGCCGTGTGGTCTTATCTGGTCATAAGACAAATCTACCAGTACTAAAAACTGACGGACCAAATGAAGATTGCACCAGCAATCTACAAATTACCACCCAGACAATTGTGAATAATATAACTGATAAAGTAATCGTGGTATGAGATATACATGACTGAGGTTAATATGATTATCGGTTGCCGATTGTTTGTATTTCTATCAATAAATGAATCTACTGCTATGTATGTTATATACACATAGTATTACTACCAGAACTACCGTACTGGCGCGATTAGAGCCCTCTCTCGAATAGTGCCACCAAGATTGGTGTCCTTTTGCTAATTTTCCTGTCCATGTCACCTTCCTGGTGGTTTCAGGATCAAAATCGTAGTTCTTGTTGCTGTTTCTGCTGAATCATGATAGTTTACAGGAAACATTAGGGTTGGTTTTTTGCCTTCTTTGCACGCGAGTACGGTATACTGTTGCTGTAGAAGAGTGTGATTGTGGTGAGCTGGGTATGATTCATACAATGTTCTCTTGCTCATTAATTTTGTTTTATCTGTTCCATAATTATAGGGAATTGAAGAAACCATTTACAACCAATCGCAGGTGAAGGTGCATTTTCGCGACTTCGCTGGCCAAGAACATTATACCGAGTCACATGACATATTCACGGTTGCCATGACAGCACCATCTGTTGCCGCAATAGTGGTGGACGGCACAGAGTGTGTTGATGAGATCACACAGACTGTCAGTGCAACTGCCGCCAATATTGTCTGTCGCCTGTCTGCACCTGATGATGGTAAGTGGATAGCAATGGATAATTTTCTTGCCTGTTACATGATCCATTCAGCCAATCTTGAATACTGCAACTAGATCCCTGCCTGCAGCCACAAAGTTAATATGAAAGGCACAGACCCTTCCAGTGTCCTGTTCCACCATAGGTTTTCTCAGCAGAAAACATGCCAAAAACGACAAACAGTTGATCATCAGTCTGCCCTGGTGCCCATATCATTCAAACTAGCTATTACAAGACATGAACTTAGGATGAAGAGACTTACTATATTCTCCATTCTGGCATACAAGAAAGAAAAGGGAATACTTTGCTTTCTTGGATTGACTAATTGTGTATTCATGGACTGGTATTCCTTGTCATTAGCAATTGCGTCACTTTGTCTTCTTGCATTATCAGGTTCTCTACCGACTGTGCAACAAGAACAAGAGCAGCAGCAGCAGCACCACCACCACCAGGAAGATCTGCAACAGGCGGAGAAACTTGATGTCATCGCAATTGCCACACGAGCTGACCAGCTAACACCAGAAGAGTGCATTGAAGTGGAGAAGGCCATAAGGAGGGGAATGAAATCATTCTCTCAGCGCTTAGATCTCTCCATTGTGAGAGTAGTGGACGCTAGAAAGTCCAACAGTTACAGCATGAATGATCTAAGAAGTGAATTCATGCACTTGATCAATCGAGTGTTGGCGGTAAGATTTATTATTTCCCAATTTTGATCATTTTTTTCTGCCCTGAGTGTTGCTCGAGTAGCTGGTCTAGTAGCCAATCCACCTCCCCCCCCCCCCAACCTTGCCCATTTCCCGTTACTCCTCTGGCTGTTGAAAGTATTGCCAAAGTCGCTGCTGCCTCTATTTCGTACTATTTCAACTTTGTCTGCAGAAGTCCCCAAAGCAACCGTGTTTGCTGCAGAAGGCTCGGAAGCATTTGGATGAGGTTCAGGCATCGATGCCCGATCCATACTGTTCAAGAGCCGAGTTCGTTGCGGCATTCAAGAAGGCAATCCAAGGAACCAAAGAGGCACTGCCGAAACGCCTCACTGAGCAGATCGACAGCTTTCTACGCGTCCTGACTGCTTACGGATATGTAAGAGCAATGCATGTATAGCAATGTTGACATGTGATGTTGAATTTCTGTGTGTTCATTTAGTATGGTACACAGAAAAGATCGAGGTTTGAGTTTGAATTTCCTTGTTTCACATGGAGGTTTGCTATTCTCAAAGCCCATTATGACTTCAAGGTTTTGAAACTTTGCCGGCTGGGTGCCCTTATGACCTGCACCATGTGTTACATTCTAGATTTCGCTAATGTCTTCGCCCAACTCGGATGAGTTGACAAACATGTCACCATGCCAATTTGGTTTGTGTTTCTCCGAGAACCTCATAAACCATACACACGCACACACGCACGCCCGCGCGCGCGTGCGCCCACATACACACACACACACACACACACACACACACACACACACACATACACACACACACACCCTCCATGGTGCTCTAGCTAATGAATCTCTTTTGAAGAGAATGTTGCCTTCTGGAAAGAGATAAATTGTAGTTTTAGAATGTATGATGAGTAAGAACTGGAGACATTTTGGTGAGAAACTATGCCCACATAAGAGAAAATGGGAAGTTTGCTATGAATTGATGGAAAATACTGAAGTCCACTGCAAAATGTAACCTACAACTGGTTGCTGTATGCACACCAATAGCCCATTAGGTTGCATATTTGAACTTTATACAATAGATATTGGAAGTCAAAATTTAACTACAGTCGTCCCTCTCTAATCCCCCACCTTTTGAAGCGGCATTTTCTGCTGGATAAACAAGGGTGCTGGATTATCAAATCCTGCTCTCCAACCTGGCCCACCTACATACATGTTTGTGTTATAAGTCAAAATGCAGAGATTTCTGTGTCAATCTAATTACTTTGTGTAATGCATGTCTATACAATGCATAGGATAGTTGCAAGGGTATGTTACATGTGTAGAAGGCTACATGATAAGTTAGTTCATGCATGTCATGCACTCACCAAACTAACATAGCTGTGCACGGGTAAGGTTGCGATGTACAACTGTCGGATGTACAACTGCATGTCGGATGTACAACTGCATGTCGGATGTACAACTGCATGTCGGATGTACAACTGCATGTCGGATGTACAACTGCATGTCGGATGTACAACTGCATGTCGGATGTACAACTGCATGTCGGATGTACAACTGCATGTCGGATGTACAACTGCATGTCGGATGTACAACTGCATGTCGGATGTACAACTGCATGTCGGATGTACAACTGCATGTCGGATGTACAACTGCATGTCGGATGTACAACTGCATGTCGGATCATGAACTAGAACTATGTACTGTATGAGAGATTTGTTGCAGAAAATCGCTGCGGGAGCAGGAATTCAAGTGCCGGATTAAAGCGTCGAAACTGAACTGAAAAATCCGTTTCGCCAGAAAGTTGGCTGCTTTGCAAGGGTTCTCGATAAACAAGTGCCGGATAAGAGATAAGAGATAAGAGATAAGAGACGGAAATATACGTTTCTTTGTACTTGATCTACATTTCTGTTGTATGTGTGTGTGTATGTGTGTTTGTGTGTTTGTGTGTTTGTGTGTGTGTGTGTGTGTGTGTGTGTGTGCGTGCGTGCGTGCGTTTGTGTGTGTGTGTGTGTGTGTGTGTGTGTGTGTGTGTGTGTGTGTGTGTGTGTGTGTGTGTGTGTGTGTGTGTGTGTGTGTGTGTGTGTGTGTGTGCGTTTGTGTGTGTGTGTGTGGGGGGGGGGGTGGGTGTGGGTGGGTGTGTGTGTGTGTGTGGGTGTGGGCGTGTGTGTGTGTGTGTGTGTGTGTGTGTGTGCGTTTGTGTGTGTGTGTGTGTGTGTGTGGTATGCCTTTGATACTGCTAAAGGTCATCACATTCCCAGAGCTGAATGATTTGGTGGTTCATCAGCCTCGCTGGCTCCTGCAGGACGTGATCGGGTTTATGTACTCGTCCAACGTCTTCCCCCACCGCCCTGATGGCATTGCCAGGGAATACAAGATGAGTGAAGAGGAGTTCGTCCGTTCTCTGACTGCCTTCGCCACAGTCGGTGAGAAAGCTCCGCTCTGCGTGCGTATGGTTCTACAGCTCGGCTTGACCATCCGCCATGAGAAAGATATCCTTGCTCTCTCTCTGTTTCCCGAGTGCACACAGCCATTGAAGGTGCACAGAGCCTTCATGACCTCACAAGTGATGGTAGGTTCTGTGTATACCTGCAATGGCTGTGTGCCATTCTCATCTGGTCTCATTGTTCAATGCCAGGCACGTGCGTACGACTACTCCGCCTGCTTTTTCTCCAGCACTGATCCCATGTTCTTCAAGAACACCATCATTGTCCACCCATATCCGCACACAACAGCGCTGATTGTGTTTTCGTCCGACCGTCAGCGTTGTTGTATTGCAGTGGCGTCTAGTTGCAGGAGGTACCTGCAAGTAGTTCATCATGTTCACTGGTTATTTCAAGCTCTCTTCCTTGACCTACTCAAGAGATACAGTCGTGGTACTTCGGTAGAGCCCACTGTACTCAGCCTGAGCAGCATGCGTCAGCTTATCCAGCAATCCGCTTCACCAGCTGCCATCAGTTCAGTGGTTGCTTCCTACTCGTCCGAAGCCGTCATTCTTGCCTCAAGCAGTGTGCAAAGCAAAGATGTCAAGGATGCCAGCGGTGTGTGCATGGACTCGGTGCTGGATCTCCACTATGTTCCTGCCACGCACATCACGATGCTTCCTGCCGCATGTACTGATCGCCTGGAGAGGCTGCGAGATTCTTCATTCTTGCGCGATCTCCAAACACATGTTGACGTCAGTGAGAGTGAAACCAGCCGGCTTGTTGGCCCCCCATTCGTGTCGTCCGCTGTACCCAGTGGGCTGAATGCCTCGCTGGTGTTGTTGGCATGGTGCCGACAATCTCATCGTCACACATCTACTGTGCTATACAGCAGATTAGCTCAGCACTGCTTTTCTTCAACATTCTCCATTTTCTACCAAGAGATCTGCAGGATGCTGGTGGAGAATGAGAACATGGTGAGTGGAATAAGAATTTTTAAAAGTTTTCAGTAACTATGAATCTCTGCTGTCATTATTCATAAACACAA